AATCTAAAAATATATTTAGAATTATTTCTTTGTTTAGATCGAGGTATCAGTGACAAAATTGGATGCGAGTAAATAGCCGAGGTCACGAACTGTGCACGAAGATCTGAGGTGCATGTCGGACAGATACTCTGTAAGGACAATAAAATCAAAGGATTTGACCGGCGCTGTCTACTGCTGTATTCTGACAAGAATCAATTAGCAAGCCACCTGGAACTTTTCTTAGCTGAGAATTATTTCTCAGAAATTATTGCTGTTTTGCTCACCGTCCAGAGGATGTTCCTTTTGTGGCTATAGGCAAAGGTTCGGCCAAAGTTCATGTTTTAAGTGTGGTATCTAGTAAAGGAGACGTCATAACACTATATGTCTTCCTAAAAGGCAAATGCGCCACTATAAGGGTTCATTTGCAGACTCCACCAGCCACCGTAAAGCATGTTTTGGGATGTGCGAATATGACCGCCGAAGAACCCAGATTTGAGTTCGTTGGGTTACTATGTATAAAGCGTTATTGAGCAAGAGTCCGATAAGTCTCGGCTCGCTCACTTCGATCTTTACCAAGAAGGTTTTTGCGAACGGTTCAGGACTTGAATTAAAGCTGCAATTGCAGTACATAGTGATTATGTTAAATAATCGGGATAGCTAGCAATGGTCATTCTAGCACATGTATACAAATTTCGTATTTGTTTTAGTAGAGGTATAGCGTTGGAAACAAAGTCATAATATAGGTGCCGTACCATATAAGTAAGTCAGGTTAGCTTACCAGACATATATAACTAGATTAAATTGATTTTTAACTCATTGCATCAGTTATTAAGGTTTGTGCATTATAGTACAATCATAATCAAAACGTTTATTCGACAGGTTCGACAATCCACGGATTGAAAAGTGACAGTTACTGATAAGAGATTTAAATTGGCGCGTTTCAACAACAGCCTTAACTAATCAATCTACACTATGAGTCGTTGCTACGTTTGCCGGGAGAGTAAATGGTCCTTCTGTGAAATCTGTCGCATCGATCAATTCCTCCACAATGAAGAGGTAAAACTAATTAAAGATGACACCGGGATTAATTACGGTATTCCACAGATAGAGTGAGATTGCCCATTGAACCTATACTTTCGACGAACAATAAAAGGTAACTAGGTTCCGACCTTGCTCGTCCGACGCTTTAGGTTCTAGGCAAATTGTGCTATATATGTCTAGAGCTAGAAATGAATCAAGTAAGTTAAGTGTGGATAGTAAATTAATCTAATGCATTTAAGAAAGTTGAAAAAGCTGCTTTTATCGAAACTGGGTGATACGCCTGTGGCAGGATTTGAGATCGCACCATTTAGTATTGAGCATCGTCTTAGGTAACAAACGTCATATATTGGCGCACTCCACTCGGAAGAGCAAGCTTGATTCTTCGTTGAGTTGACAAGATTCGATTATATGGATAAGTAGAACTCCGTTACTCAGAAACAGAAAGTCAGAATATGCGGTACCTAATGTTCAGCACCCTTCCCGCTAAATAGTATCCGACTATTTAATCGGAACAGCACCCACAGCAAACACGATGAAGATCGATCAGTCAATCAATCAATCAATCAATCAATCAATAAGACTTGTTTTAGTAAAAGCGCAAGCTAGTTATGTAATCTGGTCAATAAATAATTTTGATCTATCGTTTAGCACCAGAAGATCACGCCAACAGGTAAGGCCGCATATCATTAAACGGACAAAAAAACAGGCAGTTTTAGCAAAGTTATTAACTGCCAATAGGACCATAAATGTTTAATTAAGAACCAACTACAGACGCTGTGATTGCACGTTGAGTAAAACAACTGTATATATATATATATATATATATGTGCATATGAAGATATGATTACAAAGTTCACTTGGCAATGTGTCGTACTTTTAAGGAAGCGCTTTCAGCAATTTGGGTACTAATGCATCGGGCCGACTTCATGAAGATAATGACCCATTTTTCGTATGACGATACGCACACGCACACACTGTACACAGCGCTAATTATCAATTAGACGCCAGGATGATCGTTTTATCATACGTAGAATGCTTACTGCAACGTGTACACTTCTCTTTGAAAGTAACGCAAAACTTTTATTAGGAGAGAACATGTTTTTAGCTCGATCTACTGCATAGTGAGCTGTCAGCCTAAACATCTCAGTCAGCTGAAAGGGCCATTACCTGTTTGCGATTGCCGTGTGGCTGTACATTTAATTTTCTCTGTCTGTTTCTGTCAGTAACTAAATTACATGCGCCTAGTTCGGAGTATTGAAAATTTTAACGAGAAAACAGTGTGCATCACGGACGTCATCATCGAAGTCTGCACAACGAGCAACAAGAACGCCTCCCGTATGGAATGCCCTACAAACATCGCGATGTACATGTGAAATTGCATTCTGATGTAAAATTTCATCCGCTTTATCCGTACGTAAAAGCTATCACCAAATGGTAATTAGCCCGACGACTGTTGTTGTTTTCTAGCGCTGGTAATTGACTCTTTCTTTTTTAGCCTTGTTAGAAACCTCTAGAGCTCTTTTCGAGAAGTCCACTTAGAAACGACGTTACTATCTATTGCGTTACTTCTTTCTTATTATATATTTATATTATTTCGCTCTCTGGTTCGTGAACGGGATCTGGAGCAAATTAGAGCGATGCTTTTCAATGTATCCGATAATGATGGTTTAGAAACATAATCGAATTATAATTTGAACATAAATAAGGGTTAGTTGTTTCGTTGGTTCAGAAGCACTATCATTAATTTTTCTCTTTCAAAAGGTTCGATAACTATAGCGAGATAGTTATAGCGAGACTATCCGGGACTATTCAGTAGATATTTGTTATTGAGACGACGTCCAATGCGTAACTACGAGTGTTGTCCGAAGTTCATAGGGCTAAGGGTAGAGGTATCATATACTGCTTAGATTAACGCTGTATAATGAAGTTTCCATTTTTTGAAGGTCCATTTCGTGGCCGAAATCGATGGCAGATGGATAGATCTTCTAAGCAAAGAGTCTCTCGGCAAAACAACAACGAAAAATAGGCGTCAAATAGAAGAGAAGGGGAGAACGGTGGCTGATCTTGGCAATGGCTGTCGGGGGTATTTGTTAGTGCGATCAATGTTGCCCAGAGAGGCAGCGGCCAATGCTGCAAGATATATCGTATTCTTGAAGAGCTTTATGGACAAGACTCAGTGTCATCGCAAAACATTGTCGCCACGCCTGAATTACGGCCTGCGTTAAGTAAAACCAAGGTCCTCTAGAGGACTTCTAGAGTCCCCAGTTTTAAATCAGTGTAAATTTTGCCGTTTGCATACGTCCTATGCCGACAGGTGGCATAGTGCATTCAACCATTAGCTCTGTCAAACCAGCCATAGATTACGAGATTAGGTGTAATAATGCAAATCACAGATATACAACTGACGAGAAGTCCCAGAATAGTAGCATCAATTTGTAAATCAAAAAAGACACTTTATCTAATGTATACTGTAGTGTACACGTCGTTGTTTTACTATATAATGGCTTAAAACTTGTCGACCCTTTAAATAATGTTAAACGATCTAATGGCCTACCATTCGTAGGCCTTGCTGATACCGTATCAGCGATGGTTTGCTTACATGTGCCCGTACAGAGATCAGTATCAAACTCTAAAATTGCTTGACGGTAAATACCAAATTTACTCTTCGGCTCCAAGTCCAACCACCTACAAAATGATCTACTCCAACTTATCCTTAGAAACTTTGCTAATTCCTGAATTTTTTTTCAACTTTTGTAGCGAAACTCAAGCCCACACCCCGCAACACACTGAGCAAAACTTGCGTCACAACGAACTATTACGGTCGAGGTTAGATGTATATGCCAATTGGGCCTATGCCGCTTGTGAAGCCACTGAAAACTAATGAGCTCAACACCGTCCATGGAAATCCATTAGAGTTTCGTTGGATAATAAACAAAAAAACCTTGTCATTTGCGAAACACGATGTGTGAAAGAACTACGCGTCATCTCTAGCAAAAATATTGAGTCCTGAGAAACAAATCGTTAACACTTGCGAGGCTGAAACGAGGCAAGGAACAATACCATAAAGATTCACATCACTATTTTCATCTGTGATTTCTTAAAGAGAGAACGAAAGATATTTACTATATAATAGCAGTTTCAGGGCTGATGCGGACAACATCACTCCGTCTACAAGAAGAAAAACCGCCAATGCGACGCAGTAATAAGGATTAGTATGAAAACAGTTGTCCCAGCCGATAGAAATATCCACTTATTAGAGCCATGCTTTGGGAAAGCACGCATGCACTGGAGTTATGGACCTGGGCGTATAATGTTACGAGTATATCGTAAACGCATTCTCGTAGCGTTACGCGTCGACACTCGCACGTTAACTTTAGCCGCCGAACACTCGTAGTATAAGTTACACCCCTGGGTAGAAGGTATGAGTTATAATAATGTTGTGTCTTATCGGACAGAAACGAAAACATTTTTAGGGATGTCATAACATTGACTGCTAGAACTTTATAATGTGTTACACATATTGCAAATACGAACAAAAAAAGCTAAAAAAAAAAATCGAAACATTTGATTTGTTAATAAGAAAAGCAATGCTGTCGGTGGTCGCATATGTAGCACTAAATAACCAAACGCTGTGAGAAGCTTGAAAGAAACCAGAGAAACTGTCCCTATATATTTTTGAGAGTTTTTTTTCTTCAAGATGTGCCTATGGCAGGCAGCGAACGACCTAAACAGAGCACAGCTTCTTCGTGGGGGGTGGGGGGGGTGCCGCTAGCTTTTGTAATGGTAGCGTATTCTTTCCACTTATGTAAGGATAGGTGATTTAGTTAATGTTCGAGATCGAACCTAGGCATTTCTCGTTTCGTGCTAACTACCAGCCGTCTCAAGCAGTGGATTGTGGCGGAGCCAAACGTAAAACTGAGAACATTTCACCTAGACGAAATAACTACAAAAATATTCTTCTTTACCTTTTATATTTATTAACCTAATTAAAATATATGAACTTATTATACAAGGAAAAATGCATACACTTATGGTTATTTTGCAGTCGCTACAGATTATATATTACGTTAGCATGTCTGCTTGAGCTCTGAACTGGCTCTTACGATAATTCAAAAGCAGCTCAGACAGTCAGATCCTCTATAGGTCTACACAGCTGATGAGTACATATCCGCAAAACACATAAGACAATTTCCGAGGAAGACTCCGAAGTGTCAATTACGCTTCTTTCCTCAAAGCTGCAATTTTGAATTATTAGCTACTTTAGAATATATACGAGTGGGCATGAAAATTTTTGACGAAAGACAATGCCGATGCGGTCGCAGAAACTACTTTAAATCAAACATACATCGTAAGGTGTATCTGCTTCTAGTTTCTACGTGGTACTGCCCAAATATAGGCCACAATTTTGAGCTAAAAGGTACTCCGACCGAGTCTTGTTTGCGTAACGAAAACAGCCTCTTCCAAGGACTACTTAACTATTTATATATAGTTTTTACTTTTTTTTTTTTAGCAGCATATGTACATAAACATCTATTTAACATATGTACTTACCGCCGTTGTTGTTGTTGTTGTTGTCGTTTGCTCGATTATTCTCACTTTCATTTTTAGCATTCTGATGGTTAGTAACGTTACCTTCGTCTTTCTTTACGTTATCGGGCAGGGGCTGTTCGAAGGTTTCGTTTAAAAGTCGCGTAAGAATAGATGCGAACAGGCAAAGTCCTGCAATGACACCCATCGGCAGAAACTTCCACGAACTTGCGCGTTCCTATGAAATAAAAATTAATCAAATGTACCGCTTAAACGAAGCTTGTCTATTTTCCAGTATGGTACTCACGCGCAGCGGTGAAAAACTGTCTAGTCAGAAACCATCCTTTATTAGTATAAAGAACAACTTTCCATAGTACTAAAGCTCTATGTCTTCGCAGCATAATTTGGGAGAGTAATTTGCCGTCGTGTGATAAGGTGTTACGAACTAGACATTTGTATTTTTAGCCTGTGCAGATTGCGTCCTTTACTACTTACAAGTTCCTCAAAGAATGGTGCGATGCAGGAGCCGATACGACCCGCTGTAGCGGCAAGAGAGATGGCTAACGCACGAATTACCGTGGGGTATGCCTCGGATATGGCCACCCGAGAAACGGACATATTGACTGAGGTGCAGACTTTTCCCATGATTAATAGGCCGAGCTTCGTCCAGGAACACTCTAATTAATTAATGATGAATATGTAATGATTCACTTGGACTGCTTTTGTATGCTATGAAAAAGAAAGTTCGCTTGCTAACTGCGCTCAATAAGCGCTTGCCGTTTTTTGCCACGTACTAGCTCACTGTTGGCTGGATTTTTTCGAGCTGTTCAAGGAACGTCTGTTGAACCTGGCATGTTTCAGATGTGATTATTAAGCGTCATCATTAGATTATATAGCGTGGATCCACAGCAGTCCTAGTAATAGATAGACACAGTAACGTTGTAGTGGTAATTTGTTACTGAAGAACCTGCCTTCGTGCTCTACGGGTGAACGTCGACCCGTTAAGTGGCGTAAAGGCATGCAAGATACAGCATAGGAAATGGACAACTATAGTCATCTTCAGCTTCGCCAGTGACCCGTTATAGGTCACGATTTGATTTTTTCACGGCAATGAAAATAAGAGTTTGTACATTCTTACTTTTCACATCTTACAGATCGCTACGACCTGTGCGATTCGGATCATTACAATTGAACTATACACATTTACGTGTGTATCTATACGTTGAGTCGAAGTTTAATCTAGGTGGGTATTTGTGGTAGGCTGAACAAACCTTTTGGTAGGAAGATGACGGCGACAAGAACGACACACGAGCAGCCAAACGATACGAATAGCGTTCGCTTACGGGGAGCCCATTTGATGAGAGCACTGTTAATTAACTTAGTAGGATATTCAGATAATGCTGCTAAAGAGTAACCAAGATATGGGTTACTTTCTGCAACTGTGGTCGTAGACACTGTCAGGTAATACCATAGCAAATTTGAGACCGCCCTGTAATAACAAAAACAGATAGATAACGTTGCTGAAAACAGGGCCCTAATAAACAGAGAGAACATCCCAGTAATCAATTAGCTGATTAGCGATTTAATAACAAATAATATAGCCCAATAAATCAATAGTTATTAGCGAAAAAATAATAATAATAATAAAATATCATTACGTTTGTAGACTGGGTTCCCAACTATGACCCTACACCGACTTCGAGTCAATTTCAAGCGGGTTTCTATAGCTAAACCTCGACGTGGCTTATATATGAGGTTGGTCCCCTACAGAGGTAAGCATATCTTTTCACATACTGCTGAATACTGTCTATTTTCTATAGAAAAAAGGCGTTGTCGAAAGAAGCATTTGCGATGTGGTATGATACAACGTAGGATATACTAACATGCAGAATGTAAAAACGAAAGTAGTCGTCCTGTACTCTCTTTTAGCGACGGCAAATAAGGTGGGTCGCGCTGAAGTTTTCCCGTTGCGTATGCCAACAGCGGCCTTTCGTCGTTCATCTACTAAGTGCGACACATCCGACTCAGAATAATCCGAGTTATTCCTGACAAGACTCGCAAGGTTTTTCTCAGCTTCGTTCAAACGACCAGTACTCAACTGCCATCTAGGCGATTCTGGTACGAGGCTGTAGACGTGAAGAGTACTTCGTATCATTAGATGAAAAAGGAAGAACAATCAAACACCTGAGCAATTTGTAGCAAATTGCCGTACATCGGAGAAGTTATACGAAAGTCACGCGGTTACCGTATTGGTGCTACAGTGCGCTATCACAACACTCAAAAAAATTAGTTTAAAAAACAAAATATTTATACATTTTTTCATCCGTTTAAGTTTTTCTACAGGTATGACATGGTTGACAGGTTCTGAAAATCTTTCTTCGAGCAAAGGCGATAATACACAACGCTGTGTGAGGTTAATGGCATTGCATTTGGATCGGGAAGGGGGCTCCTTGAGTAGGACGTGCTCTTTTCTTGTTCCCTGAAACGTTTGACACATTTTTTTTTCAACAATTAAATGGTTCTTTTTCATTCAAAGGTAAGGTAAAGATTAGTTTTAAAACGTTGGCCGTAAGAATTTGGCCGTATTTATAAAAATATGTCAGGTCGATTTTCCGTCACAGAGGTTGTAACGTTTTGGGTTTCTGCCCGGTCGGTTTCTTCGTTATAATTGATCAGGGGAAGAAGATGTCGAAATATATAATATTCGTAAGTAAAGGCACTTACAACCACAAAGCGCACAAGGGTAGCACAGTTACTGCAGTGAGTAGCTGGAGATACGTCCAGTCTCTGAGAAACCACGCGAACAATGGTAGAATCAACATTCCAGTCGACCAACCCGTTCCAATTGTCAGCGTCGGCATATACCGTTGTTGTGGGCTCACCGTTTCCACCACTATACGAAAAAGGAAAGGTTTCCGCTAGACCGCAAAGTCTATTAATTGCCACACCTTTGTGCTAGCCATGCTTCAATATGATATTGTATCAATCAACCCTTTTTCCTTTACGAAGCTATAGATCAAGTCAGAAACATTCGCTACTATTTCTACAAACGCTTGATATTTTTCGCAGATCAAATATATCCACTCTATATTTCTACGATGGTTCATTGAATGTCCAGTATGGAGTTTTATTCGAGTTCTGTGTTTATTTCTACTTCTTGAGATAGATTTCCGATAATTCCTGTGTCATCGCGCTAGCGTCTTCTCCCAAACGTGCTTCCTCAGCGATGCGATTATCGCACTCATTTTGTGCCTGGCGACCTGATACATCGTTACATAATTGCTATCGTCGTTTTTGATAGACTGAAAACCTTACCTAAAGTAAAAGCTGCTTCGGCAAAGCCGACAACGCCGCACGCACTGATGAACCTTCCTACTATGAAAAAATAAATGTTCGGCGCGAATGCTGTTATAGCTGAGACGATCGTGGTCCAAACGAGCGATACTGCCATTACGGTCTTCCGGCCCCACCAATCGGAGATGTGCGCATGAAGAACACCCCCCACCATTAGACCCCAGAGATAGAGCGATTGCGCTAGCGACGCCTGTTCGGAAATGACAATAACACAAATGTGGCAAAAGCAATTTACGCAACTGACGCCTGACGGTGAACAATAAACGCGCCTGCCCAATACCTAAGCTCCAAAAAACGGATACAAGAATCCATATGTTCTCACGGTCCTGAACGTATAATTAGCTTTGAGTTCTATTTTTCATTGTTTCTGTTTAAAGCCAATCTTCGTTGGGTTATTCCAGTAATAACTAAAGGGACACATAATCTTTTCGTCTTCGTCAAGTTGACTTGTAAAGCTTGAACAGTGATAATAAACGCCATTGAAGTTAACGTAATAAAAATTATCTACAGAACACTCGAATTAAACCCGCACGCGTTTCTATATTGGTTGGTACCTTGCGTTTGCTACACCTGTGAAACGTACAAATTCGTCCGAGCGATTTCCATGCTCGGCATAATTTATAAAGCAAATTTAATTTTCTTAAATGTTTATCTTCATATGCTGATGATTATTCGAACTAAGGCTTAGCTAGGTTGACATGTAAATAAAAATTATATGAAATGAAAATTTCAAAACTCCTTATGTTAATAGTATGAAAAAAGGTCAAATACAATAATGTATGGAAAATTATCACACACTTTCACGACTTAAACTTCTAAATAAGATTAGCATGCTATAATGTATAGAGGAAATGGGCAAGTATGTTGCCTTTAATTGATAACAATCGAATTTAGTACTACTGGCCTTCCAGCATCGATTGTTGACTCAATTCAGCGGTTTTATCAGGACATCGAGGAACATCGGGCCTCTCAAAAATAGTTTCAACACTCTGTGGCAAAATTTCAAGGAGTCACCTTGAGATAGGACCCGCTGCATACAGGTTTGTAGAGCAACGAATCCCCAAAGCTCTTTTGTGCGGTGCATTTAAAAAAATATTTTTACAAATATTTTTTTTTTAATTTAATTTAAAAATATAAATTTTTAGGCATAATTATTGATCGAAATTAATGATTTTTAAGGCTCGGCGTTTAGTTGTCGTTACGTTGATTGAAACGCGATCACGGGGCAGCCATCTGACTCGGAGTCTATACTGAGAATGCCCCTGCAAAGCAGCGACATAACCGAAACGTCCTGGTCCTTTGAAACAATTTCTTTTAGCTTCATAACAAACGATTGTCCAGTCTCAATAATTAATATACTTCTTACCAAGTATGCTGTTCTCTGTAATGCTTCTTGTTTTAGCTGGATGATTTTTATGTACAAATAATCTAAACACCCAATTCTTTAATTGAAATCTCTAATATAATAAATAGCTAGCTAACATCATCGACGGTACGTTTGAAACGTTTAGATTTCGTATTGGGTATCGTTTTGATCCTGAACTAACCAGCCAAATTCGATCACAGACGAGTCCGTATTGCTCCATGATTGTATAGCCGTATACCGTTCGATCGAACTCGAATGAGGTACAGCTGCCATTACACGTATTCCTGTCTGGGACCGTGTTGTTGTCGTCCTTCGCGTTTGTGCACCAATAATGTTGACGGGTAGGCGCTGAAAAAACGACGTACATCATCAACATTGTCACCTGTAGAGGCCAATTAGAAAGGGAATGCATACAAGTAAAAAATGTATTTTGTTTATAACGGTAGCTTGAAATATTTGTCATTCTCAGTAAGTAAGGAAGATAAAGCTCAATGAGTCATTCTGGCTTCGAACAGTATCCCGTTTTGTCCACTTGAAACAAATGTTTCACATCAAAAAATTTTATTTTAAGCCTCCGGCCAAAAATTCACATCTTGCTTATAGTGGTTTCGCTAGATGTATAATCATCAAATAACTTTGTAGCTAATGGGTAACCAAGTAGGACGTTCAAATTGCTGATAAATTGACTAACTTAATTTTGGTTAATTAATTAAACCAACGATCCGCAACGAACAAGATGAATATGGACATTTTATACATCTTGGATACTGTCGTTGCTGGAACCGATTCAAATGTAAAGATGACTAAAAGTCAAGCATCGTTTGCGCGTAGGTGGTGTCAATACTGATTGGCCTTCAAGGACGTGATAAATTATTAATCTATGTTTTCGTGTAAGGCCTGACAGTGGTTCATATAGATTTCAGCATAAAATCGGCTCGTGTCCAAAAGAAAGACCTACGAATACATGTACGACTCAGTGGATTGCGGGAACTGAAGCGTCGTCCTTTATCATGGTTTACGTATATTTTCACATAGGTTCATTTTGGATCTAGGGGATCTCGGCCGTTAAATTACAGAGCTTTATTATGAAACAACCGTGATAAAAAGGTTCTAGTCTATCTAGACGAGGTACAAAACGTAGAGTGAAATAAATATTTCAACTTTTATGTGTGCTATAGCGAGAATTTGTCGCTGATTAGTACGTGAATCTGAAACAGGAAAAAACCGAAGCAACGTGGAACTGTTGCGTGCACGTAATCGTATCCTGCAGTCTGCCAAACATAACTGAGAGAAGTTAGACTAGAGTTGTCAGATACTTGAATTAGGTTCAATGCAACTTACAGCTCAATTGATTTACGGTTCAAAGCGCCCTCTGAAACTTACCTCCGGACGAAAGTAAGCCATCGCTTGGTTTACTTCGAACTTTAAGAGGATTAAGTGGAACATTTTTATATACTTTGAAGCTGCAGACCCTTATTCGCTTACTTAAATCGCCGACGTCTAAAATGGTGTTTGGTCATCATCTATACGAAGTTGAACTATAGGAGGGGTCCATATGAAAGTTTACTGTTGAATTGAGCAGTGTCGCTTCAAGTGGGCCTATCTCAATACTGCCCCGTAATTCTCTCCTATCTGATTGCACATGCAAATATATACTTTCTATATAGTTTACTCATGATCGTTTAGTATAATCATCGCACATTAGTATATGAGGATCTGTCAGAAAATACCTTAATTCATTTCTGTGTATGTTTCATTAAAGCAAGCTCTCCTATTCGTGAAAATTCGAGGTAAACCAATCAGGGTGACGATTAAGCGCGAGTAATATGCCAAGCGCGATATAAATAACTAAGTGCGCGGGAATTATGTAAATTACAGGGTACTGCGGAAAATCGTGAAGCGATAAAACGTGAGAGTGTTGCTCATAGGTTGCGGTGGATGCAACGCGTAACAGGACCGTCGACCTTAATACATGTATCACAGTGAAATCGACTGATTCAGGCTAGGAATTATCAGTCGTTAAGGGTTCAGGTAGTCTGATCAGAAAGCGTTTTACGAATCGGAACACACAATTTACATAGTTAATTCATGCAATGAACAAAACGAACCCTCAGTTATACACGAATTCCAGCTGTTACACTCGATAGAGAAAAAGTCTCGTTGAGATGATCCGACGCATCGAATACTAGTTTACGACGCCTATGGCTTGCTTGACTTTTAATGCTGAAAATGCGAGTCAGAGCGTATTGCGAGCTAAGAAACATCATTAACATTAGCAGTACAAGATGCCGCTATCGACATACAACACCCTTGCCAATCTGCCGACTATCCAATGCTGTACGTATATTCTAGGGAATCGCTGTTGTGTTAAATTTGTTGGAAAACTGAAAGTTTTAGTCAACTGAAATTAATTATATGTCTGATAATACACAGGTCATAACCCAATCACTGCCTATCGATTGAAAGCAGAAGTGCAAACCTAAATGTTTCAAACTTTATGTTTGGTACATTAAGCGGCCCACCAGAGCGTAGGCGCCCAGCACGAAACGAAATATGTCTACACCCGGATCATTTCGCGTGTCTTCAACTTTGGTACGCAGACACGTTACCACTACCGTCATTGCGGAAGCGCAGTCAAGTGATAGCTCTATTCGAACTCTAAATCAAGCCGGGCCGCGCTTCTTTGAACGCTTATAATATTGACTTGATAGTTTTGAATGTCGAGCAAAGGCACACGAAATGGCATCATTTTCTACAGGTCGCCTAGTTAGAGTGGTAAGATGAATCAAGCTAAGCTATGCCTATTTCTCGCTAATATAGGCCGTATTACACTGCGGCTAGGGGATCTGGTCTTTGCTGTGGGCGACACTTTCGCTTGCAGACAGTGAATTAAGGCGCTATATTCACGCTAAAGTAACTGACAATATACGAGAAGCCATTGAGACCGTTGCTTCCAAACAACATCGAACGATAAGTTGTAGTTCTTTCCAGGTCATAATGGGCTGTAAACGATCCTGTCTTTTTGGGAACACCATTAAGCATTGCACGCTCTTGTCTTACATGAGAAGATCGCTGACAGACTTTGTCGATCATACGAACCGCTCATTTCCTAAGCGCATAGTCATCATTCATAATTAGTCAATTTGCTCATCCGATCGGGTTTACAACACTTCATTATTGGATCAAGCATCTTCAACGTCGATCTTCCAACCCATTTCGGTGATAAAGAAGCGACAGACTAAACTGTTCTAGCGCTTCACACCACCAAGTAATGTTATACCCTAAATGATCCTATAGCGAAAGCTGGACCGCTTATGCACGTTTGTTGACTCGACGGCGCAGATCGAGAGTCAGGTAGCTAGAACCTCTAACTGGAAGCTTCGATTTGAAGTACGGAACCGTACGTCTAACGAAAGCTGCTATCAGATAACTGTTTTCATTTCTACTGGCGAATAACGCTTCAAAATCTATCTCAGTTACCTCACTAGGTACAATTCGCTAAAAGAAGAATCAATTCTAGCGTGGACAGATTATGGTCGTTCACGCTAGTTGTTTACAGTACAGCGCAGATGTAGCTCCATTGAAGAAAACGGTCGTCCGTTTTACCCCTAACGCATGCGTACAGTATAAGAGGGTAGGACATAGAAGAACGAAGGCCATAACATTATATGGATAATTTGGTCGTTACTTGAATCGATGATTTTCAATAGTGAAAATAATCCAAGTGTATTGCAACTATGGGAAACCTAACAGCGGGCCGGAGAACATAATTTGTTCTTGCAATGAGACATATTTGAATCGGCTATGTCGTGCCAATCTCTCGTCGCCATTATCCATCTAAAACGTTTAGGATATGTTGCATTGGATTTTACGCGAGGACTCATTTTTCTCAAATTATTCAGGCCTTTAATATAACCTTCTTATTAGACATTATTCTATTCCGTATATACAAGACGCTATATTTACAAAACGAATTTCCCTTTGCTATAATCAATATGTAGCAAGTAATTAAGTACAAATAAATGCCTTAAAACAGCTTATAAAATTAACTACTTTAAACAAAAGCCTATTTACATAGCAGGAATCGAATTAAATAATAAAAAGCAGTAAGATTCAGGCAAAATAACATCTACGAACGAATGGTCCTCAATAACTATACAGGGACCGCCGTCTGCCTTTAACGCCTGTTGCTTAACTAGCCTTAACTGTCTTTTTAGCCATCTTGATTAGCGCGAAAATGCGAAAGATCGTCTAAGTTGAAACGTTGACAGTCTGCCGCCACACATCTCTACGAAGCCGTGCATATATTGTTAATAATCTTTAATATAAGTTTTTACTAATCCTCTCACACTTGCAGCCTTGTTGAATTACACCGAAAAAATCATGGAAGTAATCAAATTGTTTGTGAAACACTGTTCCCATACATAATTATCGAAAAGCACTTACCGGTATACCGCGAAGAAAACCGAACAGAAATATTGGAATGTGCCAAACTCCCAGCCTCTGGAAAAGGTCATCGAGGGTCGGTTTTCCTTTGTTGGGTCTGATACTAAATGTCGCCTGTTTGCCATTATCCTGAGCATCCTTTTTATCACGCACGCCAGTATTACAGGCATCGTCATCCGGGCACGGCATCACCGCTATTGTCGTTTGGCGTATGGCACTTTTCGTTCACAGTTCATCGATTGAGGCAATACACATATACATAAATTATTTTTTCATTCATTTACAGTTACTACCAAAATAGCTAACTGGTTAGAGGGTCGGGTTATATCGTCGGGAGCCAAATATGTGCTTTACTTTACTCACGACCTACCCTGTGGTCTGTGTTCAAAAATGTCTAGGCGATCTATCCGCGTTCCGCTTTCAAACCAATCTGGCTACAACATGGAAGGACACAAGAGGTAATCCGGTAAATAGATATATCACCAACTTGTGTCGCTTATAGCGCATCACCTATCAACCATGCGTTCATTTGGCCGTCCAACGTAAGCTTCCGTCATTTGTCTATAAATGACTGATAGGAAGCTTTTTCGTTACTATAAATATGGAAACCTATTCAAAAGCCGTGTGCAGTTCCTTACACAGCATGAATGTACAGACGGATGCTAACTGATGAAGCCGAACGTCATCACATACAATGTTCTGATAACAACGTTAGCTTTCCTCAAGTAAAATACAAAAGGAGACAAACGGTCCATTTGGTAAGAACTAGTACGCATACTCCCTTTCATCCAGAGAAGAGCAACATGAATAAAGGTACTCACTCAAAAAGCTAGGTATATTTTACAAACACGCTGCTTTAGATAGAGCGCTTCGAGGTCAACTCTCCGCCGGTCTGCGGAGTCTCATTGCGTGTGTGTGTGTGTGTGTGTGTATATTATGAAGGACTCATATTTACACGTGTTTAAAAAGAATATCTACCACTATCGAATACAACTGAATAGTAATCTCGCACCGCAAACCGTAACGAAGCGATGGAATTATTTGGTAGGTATTAACGTTCCCAGCTTAATTTATATTTTCTTTTTTTTTTTTCATAAGAGTCTGAAAGCGAATGCGGAAAATGCTTTCGCCGCGATGAGCTGTTTCCGTATGAGTTACTTTGTTTACGATAATGGATTGTTATTTGCTGCCGGTGGTTACTGGCTAGCTATAACATTCTTGAGGTAAGCACGCAACGGTGTCTGTGACCTTTAGGGTAAATTGTAATTGACCAATAAGCTTTCCAGTAGCAATCTCGTTTGTGCTTAAACGTGCTTTCGTTAGCACACCATCAATCAAAGCGATCGCCGTCAATCACTGATGGATCGAAAATTCGGCCAAGGTTCAAAACATATAGTAAAAGCACTCAACCGGCGCTAGTGTCTATGACGTCTGCTACGATAAAAACTAGGAATAATTAGAGCTAGAGATGTTCTAGATTCTGTATCGTATACATCTGCTTTAACACTTTTCCGACAACGTGTTATATGATCCTCTGTAATAACTAAAAACGTGGGTTCCTGTCCCAGGAAAACAAACGTTTACGTGCTGGTTCGCCCTTCTCTTGCTGCTTAGAGTATTGGAACAACCGTCTACAGAAAGAGGCGAAAATAAGCTGTTGGATTTGCCATAAGCGATGATTTGGGCGTTGTACTTTACCATTGAGTATAATGCATTGGGAAATGTAAATAAAATTATTGCTTGCTCATGCAACGCGAAGATATAATCGATATTTTATCTGATGGCTGTCATCGACGTCAGACTTTTATGGAGTCGTCTATAAACAATAGTTGGGATGAGTACATCTGGCATAGAAAGATACGTGACACACTTTAGATACCTAGCAAAGCAATGCGCAAAAGCATCCAAATGACCCGCTAGTCCGCTGTTGAACCAACTTCGCCTGTTCCCGTAAAGTCCGTGTTAGGTTTACTTGTATAATGCCAGTCAAGGCGCACTGGAGACTAAAGATGAAACGTTTTATTGTGCTCTGACATAATTACCTTGTGACATTGGAAAATAGGCGACCACTGTAAAATGAAAGGTACATCTCGACATGCACACTTATCATAAGCAACTGAGCAAGTAAAAGTAAAAGGTCTAAAGATAGACCTTTTATCTAGGTATATACGCTCTGATTATGAATTGAAGACCCAGTCGTATCAAAAGCAAATCGTTGTAGTAAAACTTAATTTTGCTTCATTTAGTGCCGTATTCTAGTGCTAGTAATGTATTCAAAGCTTGCCGGGGCCCGTGTGCCAATGGTGAAAATCGGCAGATAGCTGTGACTACTACTAGAGTATCTCCTAATTTTCACTATTAATTGAAATATACATATGTTATTGTTTTTTACGTACAGTTTATGCGAACAGGGCCTCTAGATAGAGATCCATTATCCAGACTACGTAAAAAAAACTCACACACAGAGATTTCTATTGCCATATAGATAAGCATACCACTAAGCGCCACGATGTTTCTTCTTTCTCTTGTTCATTCACAAACCACCTCAAGATAAGACAAGCGGCTGGGAAAACTAGATTCTGAAAATCTACATAGGCTTATTATTAAAAAACGTGGCATGCGCTCAATTTTTTCGTTCCTATACGGGCCGCTCGTACATAGAACAACGTAACCTGGCCCAAGTGGCCAAATGACTTACATTGCTCGCATTTATTCTCACGGTCAATTTGTCAGCTTTACTTAAATCGCCGCCTTTATTAAACGGTACATTTTTATAGCCCAAGATCAAAGTAAAGATAAAAATATAAAAGTGGGTATGCAAAAATAGTTTCGAAAGGCCCGTTCTGTATTCATTTATATTTAGCACGTATTCAATTAGACGCGTGACAACTTTGGTTTTAAGCTGTTCTCCCTAAGTTGAGCCATATCAATTTTTTAGTATACTTTTGTTATTTACTGTTTTGTTCAACTTTACTACTTCTGCAACGTGTATGCTGTAACAAAATTGACTGCGATGAATTAGAACTCTTCGTAGATATTGAGTCTGCGCTGTTTTACTGGCGTTACTATGTACGTTTAGCTTTCTGTAAAAGCGTAACGTTCGAAAGGAACTGATCGAGCAGGCGAAACTTTCTTTCTTTCTTTATTTTAGATCTTCTTTATTTAAGATCCTTTATTTTGTTTACTATTTTTCAGCTGTCAGCCTAAATGTCAGTACGATTTACAGTATACGATCCACTTCAGTTCTTCACGTTGATTGTACCTTTTATATATATTTTTATATACATGTAAAGTAAATAGTATGATTCCGTTGGCACCTAGCTGGATAATGACTCCAAGATTTAGAGAGACTCGTTTACTACATGAGAGTTTCTCCTCGTAGGGAGCTCCTAAAACGATTCCAGAATGCTACCTCGACAGGTAGGTGAAATCAAACACTTCACGTTCTTTATAGAGTTTAAAAATTTGACGAAGGCCAGAATATGTTGTTAATTAAATAAAACGAATTCATATTAAAGTTAATATTATTGCTTATATTCACAAACATTGAAGTATTTGCGATCTGCTGAAGCCAAAACGTGTCAAAAGTGTGTGGGCAAATTACAACAGGCAACCTAATTGGTGTGAACTTTGTTTGTGCTAGGCTTATACCTAAAACAGATGGATAATGCCTAGACACAGCTAAAAAATGGCGTTTGTAAACTGTACATATGAAAAAGATGTTCATTTTTTTCGATTTTATTTATGAGTCGTTATTATTGACACGTGTTCCAATGAACGAATTTAGGTATACTGCGTACCTGTAGGGATTGTTTGCCTTTCAGAGACCACAAAGGATATTTAGTAAATTGGAGACTGACCAGATACTTTTGAGTTTCGCAATTGTTGCTCGTATTTGAACCTCGCCTCCGATTATCACCAAAGACAAAAGAACGGTTACACGTTTTAGACATATTATGCATGTATATATATATATATATAATTAAAGCTCGTACAAACAAATTAGGAGTTTTGGTCGCTGTCGCTACGCAAGGATGAGGCTCTGCTTGAATGAATAGCATTTTCGCTGTTACTGGTGCGTTACCACTACAAGTGGCAGCAGTGAAAGAATTGTCAAGGCCAAAAGGCTGGTCAATTTGAAGATGCCAAAGTGGCCGGCCAAGCAGCAAGGCATAGATCTATGGTCCTTCTTTTCCAACAACCCAGAAAAAAGTTCCGGTTCGCACGAGTAAAGCAACGCTGGGAATGATCGCACGACCTTGTTACATCTAACCCTGGGCAACTGTGCTAAAGTGTTGGGTAAGAACTGGTCGAACACGGACGGCTCTAACCCGTACATTGCGACACATACAGGGCTACCGTGGTCGAGTGTGAGGGCCCGTACCAGCCTAACCGTTTCGGTCACTAGAGCTGTATAAGGATGAATGGAACGAATAGCACTTCTGCCGGTACGAGCGCGTCATCGTTAGTACGTACATATATATTTTCTTGTTCAGTAGAATAAAACGGCATCAAGCCATTTTCTAAAATATATGAAATAATTTAAGATGATAGAGAATACTCGAAAGAAATTCTGATATTGGGAGTGCGCAGATTGAGCTCAATAGCCAAATTGCAAGAAAAACAAGAACTAGTTTGCGACCGTGGCAGATCTTGTCTGCAGCTAGACCCTTAAAGCGATGCTTAGTGATCTGCTTCTCAGTTGCTTAGTGTTTAACAAAATGTCTGACTGAATTTGGCCAATCCTGTTGCCACAAGCAACCGAAATGATGCTCTGGTTGTGTTTTAACCAAAAATTGCGAAGACAGACCGATTTATACAAGATATCTTAGCGTTGATAAGTCCGCAGTACTACTTCTTTGTTCAATATAGACCATCATCCATCTTCACCGCTTGTGACAATTTCGGCCAGAAGATATTGAAAACCGAGAAAAAATCGCTAAACGTCTAGCTGTTGACAAAATCCGCCATTATGGCTAATCATTTTTTAAGAATTCGCTTGAAGACTAGGGATAAGGTTTGGAGGCTAAGCTTCCTTTCGGCCGTTTTCCAAATTTCTGTTCAAAGATGATCTTCGAGAAATGATTTTGCGAACCCTAAATAATGCAATAGTGTGCAATCCTATTTCACTAAAAGGCGATAAATGTTAGCTTTACTTTGTTCTACATTCAGTGTACTATAACAGAGCTCGTATGCGATTCTAGCAGTACGACACACTAATGTCAGGGCTGAGCTCAGAAAAAGCGCAAAACCTCTCGAACAGTGGAACACCTCTGAATTAAAAAAAAAAAAAAAAAAAACTATACATACAATGTTTCAAAAAATCGTTCGTTTGCTTTGGAAAAAGGTCACCTATTAATCTTAACTTTATTTCGATCCGAAATGCAGACTTTTTTTTTCGTTTTTGCGACGATGCGCCGAGCGAGCGTCCCAGAAGTAGTGGTATTTAGTCGAGAGCAATTTATGTAAAGCACGGTTATCTCGCAAAGTACGTGTCAACTTTACTGCGTGACTAACTTCATTGACTTGGAGCTTACCATACACGTACGCGGAATTTAAATAACAGCTGATGAGGGACGAAACGGGGCAAATGTAGAATTCAAAGAGCGGACCCTTGTTCGTTCATAATG